TTTTTAAACAGTCTCTATAAAAATGTATATTATGTTAAAAATAAATTTGTGTGTGTTAACATTTTCATATAATTTTTTTTCTTTGATTTTATATGTATATATATAAAAAAATATATATATTGTATAATCAAAATATCTGTAAAAATGATTTTAGTCGGAAGTACCATCGAAGCAAGAATTACTGTGCGTTCCTAAAAAAATCAGCAGCCCACCATCGCCTACCACACTTCCGATTGAATACAGTTGAAGCTGCGGGAGAAACAAGCGATGAGAAAATTGATACGGACTCGACAAAGGACGATAATTCCCATGAATCCTCGAAGAAATTCTCTCTTCCCAAAGATACAAAGGTAATTTTATTTTTTGGTTTACCTTTGAGTATTCTTGACGTATAAAAATAAAAAAAAAATATTAATAAAATAATATTACTGTGCGTTCCTAAAAAAATCAGCAGCCCACCATCGCCTACCACACTGCAATGGGAAAGAGCAGTGGCCGAAGTAAAAGAGCATGCGGTGGCAAAGCTGCAGGAAGAACTTAAAAGAGCTCATGAGGAATTGAAACTGAAGGACGAGGAAGTGGCTAGACTTTCGCGGATCAGGCAAGATGTAGAAGCCGAGCTCGAAGAACTCACTGCCAGTCTCTTTCAAGTTAGTCGTCAGTTTTATATTTGTCAGATAGAAAAATGAAAGAATATATATATTTACACATACATACACATGTAAAATAAAAAATAAAAAAAAACTTTAAAATTTTAACGATAAAGATATAATATTGAAGCGTTAAATATTTAACTATCGATTTATGTGAGATTTGAAAAATCAGCAATAGCTAAAACAGTACTTGTTCTTATATGTTTGATGATTCGGATTATTTAATACAAAATATATGTTTAGGAGGCACATAATATGGTTCGAGAAGCTAATGTACGCCAGGCAACGGCGGAGCGTCTTCTAGAGGAAAGTCGCATGAAATCGGAAGTGCTCGCGGCCGAAGTAGCAGCTTTGAAAACTTTGGTGCTCACATCCACACCGTCAAGGCCCAATCCTCATTTGCATCCTCAAATCGACATGAAAGGTCGTCTTAATAATGGAGAGGAGGGTCAGCAAGGCCTTTTTATGAAGAAACATCGAAGGTAATAATCATCAATAATATAAAAATAATTATAATTTACGAAAAAAAAAATTATAGAAATTATAGAATTATTGAAAAATTGCTAATGTTTGATATCAGAAATAGTTTAATATATGTATTGCCATTTATTATTCATTTATATTTGCAAGATAAGATGTAAATTGATAATTCGTTTAAAAATAATTTGCAATTTTGATGCAGATCGCCGTCGCATTTTAATTTAAAATATGGTCGCGAAAATTCGCCGCCTGATTCGCCGGTGAAGGAGCAAAGGTTGCCGTTACCGATTGACAAGGAGATTCTCGAGAGGGATTGGAAGCGGGAACGCGAAAAGGAGAAAGAAAGGGAATGCAAAGACTTCGGTTTGGAAGTCGATCCGAGAGTGCATACAGAATTTCTCAGGTGGAAGGCGAATCCTTGCGTTGACAAGAGCGATTTCTTCGTTGCGAGGGTATTTAGGGAGGATATCGACTTGTGTTTAGATTTTCCTAATAAAGAATTGGGAGCTAAAGTCAGACAAGCCGTTCTGGACGGCATTATCTTTATCGAAGCGGTCAGCGACAAAACAAAACTCGCTTTTCCCAAGTACGTCCTCAAGTTTCGCATATTAAAATATTCAACATTACATTTTACAATTGTAACATTTTGACAATTCTCGAGAAATTGCATTACAATTTGCAAATTGCAACGTTGCTACAATAAAGATTTAAGTTAAAAGATTTTGTGCCATATGAATAAATTTTCTATCATTTACGGTAAAACATAATTTTTTTTTTATTTAGATAGCGACAATATTTTAATTTCAGAAAATGCGCACTGTTAGAGGCACCACGTCAATGTCATTATCGTATGCGGCTTGGTGATCAAGAGAATCAATGGCACTGCATTTCGCAGATTTGTCGCAATCGAGTAAGTTTTAATGATTAGTTAAAAATTTATTCTATATCATAAATGATTCTGCTTTGTAAGGGATTCTATGTTTTATTGCAGATTATAGCGGTGTGTGATTTTCTTAATTATTTGAGATACGTCGAGCGCGGCCTCGTCAAAAGCTCAGGTAAGTCTTATATTATAAAATATATCTCAAACATATAATAATAAATACATTTTATTATAATACATAATAGAGAGTAAAATTTGATAGTTTATTAAAAAATTATATATTAAAAATTATACATTTATTAATTGCTTGAATTTAATAATTAACAAGGAATATAAAATGTTAAAATGTTAAAAATTGTAAAAAAATTTACAAATTGAAGAATATCTATATATCTCTCTCTATTAATGTTGATAACTGCGTAATCGAATTTTCTAATATACCCTTTCAGTTCATGACGTTTATTGGGAAATCACGCGGCTAAGAAAGGAAATGGTTTTCGCACGATTGGGTCTGGCATTGTCATCCTGAGGTACGCGCAGGCGAGATGTTATTTAGTCTCGAATTAATTTTAGCCAGGGATTTTTTGAGAGAATCAATCGTGCGTAGATTACGCAAAAAATTGATATAATTTAACGACTATCTCGTCGATCATCGGCCTTTCACCTAGCAAAGGTGATAGTACCATCATTTTTGAGATATCTAGAGTCTCTCTAATTCTGTCAAATAATTCTGACGATAACAATGTTTCCAAGAAATTTACATGTTGTTGAAGAGGCTATATTATTTATGAAAAGGTATGTGTAATTTATTCATGGAACTTTCTTCTCTTTTTTATTTTCATAGCGCGATCGATGAATTAACTCGCTGCATTAATTTATTTCTACTTCTTTACACACATACATTACTCAGGATTAGATTTGACATTAAGTTCCAAAAGAAGCGTCATTTTTGCCACACATGAATTTCTTCGAAATATTGATGCCTTCTATGGCAAATTTTAGGTTTAGTTATTTGCAAACAAGTTAAAAGGCGACAATGAAGCTGATTACAAGGCTGTGAATGATCTTGACAGGCGAATCAGTTCGATGGTACTTCTATATGAAAAGTGTAAATAATAGAAGAGATTTTTGAGATATTGTATCATGTTTTCTCTAGTTTAACTGAACATCGTCGAACTTATCGTTAAACTCATGTGAATTACAACGTTTAACAATTGAATTTTAACGTGTGAATTATAACAGTTCAATAACAATTTTGAATCTATTGACGTTTATTCCATGAGATATTTAATGGTTAACACAATCATATTATATAATCATATTATGAAATTACATGATATCGCGTGATTTGGTATTAACATCAAAGGAAGAAACTCAGTGTTTATGAATTATTTATATTTACATCTTATATCGTATTTATGCAGATCAGTTTTTGACCTGTTATTGTATTAATTTTTTTATTTGTATTACATATTTTGTTGTGTTAATTTATCGATTTATATATTGCGTTAATCCGATTTTATTAATTATTGGTTATTAATTAAGAATTTATTACAATTCTTAAGTGTTTGTACCAAATCCCGTGACTGTAAAATTCGTCATTTAAAACTAATTATACTCATTGTTGGATCATGATGACTATATATATATATATCTACTTTCGATATTATTACTCTTAGGAAGGATTTACATCTGTGTGGACCATACGAATCTCAAAATTCTTAGTGTACATAGAACTAGGAACTTCTATATCATGTCTCATAATACTTCTACACGTCTATCATAATGCGTCCGGTTGTATGGAACATTTGTTTCTACTCTACAAATATTAATCTGGCATGTTGAAAGTATAGATTCTTTGATAGAGATTACGTTAATATGTCAATCAAAACTGACATTTACGTCAGTTATGTATTTTCTGAGATCGTATATATAAATATCTATCATATATTTTGTTTACTACGAGAATATTTTCGAGTTTGAATTTCGAATCGCAATATGCTAATCGATTTTTTAGGTAAATAATCTCTGCAACAATTTGCTCGATATGTGATTCGAAATATTTAATTATAAAAATGATCGAGATGTATAGTTATTTCGATGTTGTAAGACGATGCTGATTTATTAGGTTCTTATTTAGACTCTGTGTTGTCTTCCATTATTTAACTACATTTGCTATGACAGTAAGTAAAAATATGCAAAACGATTTATAGATTATGTAATTGATCACTTTAAATCATGCCAAGCGTACAAATTGTGGCCAACGATAAAAACGAATAACGTTCCGTTGGATATTTTCCAACGGGACGTGGAAAAAGACTTTTTCTAAACAGTTTTCTTCTGTGAATAGAAAATGTGTTGATTGTATATCAAATGTGTAAATAGAATCTTCTAACATTACTTGAGATAGAAACTTGTATTTAAAAATGAAATATAAATTATCGCTATTGCAAAAATGTGATGACTAATCATTATAATTCTTTTGAAAAATTTTCTTTCCTTCTCTCTTTTGATTAATTCTATTTTATAAATTATTCACTTTTGCACAGAAAATTATAAAATTATTATAATTATATATTTGTTAATATTATATAATAATGTACAGATTTTACATTAATATATATGTGTATTAATATATATGATTTTACATTAATATATATATTAACATAACGCATACATTAATGAAGTAGTCATTTTCTTTTGATAGCATTAATACATATATCAGGTGGTGAAATTGTAAAGCCGTCGACACCGTCTAAAATCGGAGTAGGATGTTCCGGAGATAACGTAAACTGAAATTTTTGCAGCAGACACGCAGTGAACAGAAATACACTGTTTCTTGCCAAGATCTCGCCCAAACACTTTCTACGACCTGTTTTATATTAATTTTATTACAATCCCTCTGTTATATATATTTTATATATGTTACGAAAAGAATATATGTGTGCATAATTTCTTTTATTATACCTAAACCGAATGGTATTAACCAGGGGTCCTCGACATATTCTCCTCTATCGTCAATAAATCTTTCAGGCCGAAACTCTTTTGGATCGCCCCAATGTTTCTCGTCCATATGAACGCTTCTGAAATTAGCCAGCAAGGTATAATTTTTTTTTATTTCATAGCCGAGTAGAATAGCGTCAGTCATTGCTCGATGAGGAATTGAAGTAGGGCCGACATTCGCTAGTCTTAATACCTCCGCTATCGTTGCATTCAAGTACGGTAGTCTAAAAATTTTTGCGGTTTTATTTATCTGTGAATAAACGATAATATATTGAGCAGTATCGTTAAATACGTGCATACCGATTTTTGTACGCTATACGAGGTAGAACTTCCTTGCCCAAC